GGCTGGTGTTAGAAGTCTAGAGACATAATCCCTCTAACAGTGATCTAGCTGGTGTTAGAAGCCTAGAGACATAATCCCTCTAACAGTGACCTAGCTGATGTTAGAAGTCTAGAGACATAATCCCTCTAACAGTGATCTGGCTGGTGTTAGAAGTCTAGAGACATAATCCCTCTAACAGTGATCTAGCTAGTGTTAGAAGGCTAGATACATAATCCCTCTAACAGTGACCTAGCTGGTGTTAGAAGTCTAGAGACATAATCCCTCTAACAGTGATCTGGCTGGTGTTAGAAGTCTAGAGACATAATCCCTCTAACAGTGATCTGGCTGGTGTTAGAAGTCTAGAGACATAATCCCTCTAACAGTGATCTAGCTGGTGTTAGAAGCCTTGTCTAGAGACATAATCCCTCTAACAGTGATCTAGCTGGTGTTAGAAGCCTTGTCTAGAGATATAATCCCTCTAACAGTGATCTAGCTGGTGTTAGAAGTCTAGAGACATAATCCCTCTAACAGTGATCTAGCTGGTGTTGTTATCTAGCATAATCCCTCTAACAGTGATGCTGGTGTTAGAAGCCTTTTCTAGAGACATAATCCCTCTAACAGTGATCTAGCTGGTGTTAGAAGCCTTGTCTAGAGACATAATCCCTCTAACAGTGATCTAGCTGGTGTTAGAAGTTGTCTAGAGACATAATCCCTCTAACAGTGATCTAGCTGGTGTTAGAAGCCTTTTCTAGAGACATAATCCCTCTAACAGTGATCTAGCTGGTGTTAGAAGTCTAGAGACATAATCCCTCTAACAGTGATCTAGCTGGTGTTAGAAGCCTTGTCTAGAGATATAATCCCTCTAACAGTGACCTAGCTGGTGTTAGAAGTCTAGAGACATAATCCCTCTAACAGTGATCTAGCTGGTGTTAGAAGTCTAGATACATAATCGCTCTAACAGTGATCTAGCTGGTGTTAGAAGTCTAGAGACATAATCCCTCTAACAGTGATCTAGCTGGTGTTAGAAGCCTTGTCTAGAGACATAATCCCTCTACCAGTGATCTAGCTGGTGTTAGAAGCCTTGTCTAGAGACATAATCCCTCTAACATTGATCTAGCTGGTGTTAGAAGACTTGTCTAGAGACATAATCCCTCTAACAGTGATCTGGCTGGTGTTAGAAGTCTAGAGACATAATCCCTGCTAACAGTGATCTAGCTGGTGTTAGAAGCCTAACAGTGATCTAGCTGGTGTTAGAAGCCTTGTCTAGAGACATAATCCCTCTAACAGTGACCTAGCTGGTGTTAGAAGTCTAGAGACATAATCCCTCTAACAGTGATCTGGCTGGTGTTAGAAGTCTAGAGACATAATCCCTCTAACAGTGATCTAGCTGGTGTTAGAAGCCTAGAGACATAATCCCTCTAACAGTGACCTAGCTGGTGTTAGAAGTCTAGAGACATAATCCCTCTAACAGTGATCTGGCTGGTGTTAGAAGTCTAGAGACATAATCCCTCTAACAGTGATCTAGCTAGTGTTAGAAGGCTAGAGACATAATCCCTCTAACAGTGACCTAGCTGGTGTTAGAAGTCTAGAGACATAATCCCTCTAACAGTGATCTGGCTGGTGTTAGAAGTCTAGAGACATAATCCCTCTAACAGTGATCTGGCTGGTGTTAGAAGTCTAGAGACATAATCCCTCTAACAGTGATCTAGCTGGTGTTAGAAGCCTTGTATAGAGACATAATCCCTCTAACAGTGATCTAGCTGGTGTTAGAAGCCTGGTCTAGAGACATAATCCCTCTAACAGTGATCTAGCTGGTGTTAGAAGTCTAGAGACATAATCCCTCTAACAGTGATCTAGCTGGTGTTAGAAGTCTAGAGACATAATCCCTCTAACAGTGATCTAGCTGGTGTTAGAAGCCTTTTCTAGAGACATAATCCCTCTAACAGTGATCTAGCTGGTGTTAGAAGCCTTGTCTAGAGACATAATCCCTCTAACAGTGATCTAGCTGGTGTTAGAAGTCTAGAGACATAATCCCTCTAACAGTGATCTAGCTGGTGTTAGAAGCCTTGTCTAGAGATATAATCCCTCTAACAGTGATCTAGCTGGTGTTAGAAGTCTAGAGACATAATCCCTCTAACAGTGATCTGGCTGGTGTTAGATATCTAGAGACATAATCCCTCTAACAGTGATCTAGCTGGTGTTAGAAGTCTAGAGAGATAATCCCTCTAACAGTGATCTAGCTGGTGTTAGAAGGCTTGTCTAGAGACATAATCTCTCTAACAGTGATCTAGCTGGTGTTAGAAGCCTTGTCTAGAGACATAATCTCTCTAACAGTGATCTAGCTGGTGTTAGAAGCCTCAGAGACATAAACCTTCTAACAGTGATCTAGCTGGTGTTAGAAGTCTAGAGACATAATCCCTCTAACAGTGATCTTAGCTGGTGTTAGAAGCCTAGAGACATAATCCCTCTAACAGTGACCTAGCTGGTGTGATCTAGCTGGTGTTAGAAGTCTAGAGACATAATCCCTCTAACAGTGACCTAGCTGGTGTTAGAAGTCTAGAGACATAATCCCTCTACCAGTGATCTAGCTGGTGTTAGAAGCCTTGTCTAGAGACATAATCCCTCTAACAGTGATCTAGATCTAGCTGGTGTTTAGAAGTCTAGAGACATAATCCCTCTACCAGTGATCTAGCTGGTGTTAGAAGCCTTGTCTAGAGACATAATCCCTCTAACAGTGACCTAGCTGGTGTTAGAAGTCTAGAGACATAATCCCTCTAACAGTGATCTGGCTGGTGTTAGAGTCTACATAATCCCTCTAACAGTGATCTAGCTGGTGTTAGAAGTCTAGAGACATAATCCCTCTAACAGTGATCTAGCTGGTGTTAGAAGCCTAGAGACATAATCCCTCTAACAGTGACCTAGCTGATGTTAGAAGTCTAGAGACATAATCCCTCTAACAGTGATCTGGCTGGTGTTAGAAGTCTAGAGACATAATCCCTCTAACAGTGATCTAGCTAGTGTTAGAAGGCTAGATACATAATCCCTCTAACAGTGACCTAGCTGGTGTTAGAAGTCTAGAGACATAATCCCTCTAACAGTGATCTGGCTGGTGTTAGAAGTCTAGAGACATAATCCCTCTAACAGTGATCTGGCTGGTGTTAGAAGTCTAGAGACATAATCCCTCTAACAGTGATCTAGCTGGTGTTAGAAGCCTTGTCTAGAGACATAATCCCTCTAACAGTGATCTAGCTGGTGTTAGAAGCCTTGTCTAGAGATATAATCCCTCTAACATTGATCTAGCTGGTGTTAGAAGTCTAGAGACATAATCCCTCTAACAGTGATCTAGCTGGTGTTAGAAGTCTAGAGACATAATCCCTCTAACAGTGATCTAGCTGGTGTTAGAAGCCTTTTCTAGAGACATAATCCCTCTAACAGTGATCTAGCTGGTGTTAGAAGCCTTGTCTAGAGACATAATCCCTCTAACAGTGATCTAGCTGGTGTTAGAAGTCTAGAGACATAATCCCTCTAACAGTGATCTAGCTGGTGTTAGAAGCCTTTTCTAGAGACATAATCCCTCTAACAGTGATCTAGCTGGTGTTAGAAGTCTAGAGACATAATCCCTCTAACAGTGATCTAGCTGGTGTTAGAAGCCTTGTCTAGAGATATAATCCCTCTAACAGTGACCTAGCTGGTGTTAGAAGTCTAGAGACATAATCCCTCTAACAGTGATCTAGCTGGTGTTAGAAGTCTAGAGACATAATCCCTCTAACAGTGATCTAGCTGGTGTTAGAAGTCTAGAGACATAATCCCTCTAACAGTGATCTAGCTGGTGTTAGAAGCCTTGTCTAGAGACATAATCCCTCTAACAGTGATCTAGCTGGTGTTAGAAGCCTTTTCTAGAGACATAATCCCTCTAACAGAGATCTAGCTGGTGTTAGAAGCCTTGTCTAGAGACATAATCCCTCTAACAGTGATCTAGCTGGTGTTAAAAGCCTTGTCTAGAGACATAATCCCTCTAACAGTGACCTAGCTGGTGTTAGAAGTCTAGAGACATAATCCCTCTAACAGTGACCTAGCTGGTGTTAGAAGTCTAGAGACATAATCCCTCTAACAGTGATCTAGCTGGTGTTAGAAGCCTTGTATAGAGACATAATCGCTCTAACAGTGACCTAGCCTGTGTTAGAAGTCTAGAGACACAATCCCTCTAACAGTGACCTAGCTGGTGTTAGAAGACTTGTCTAGAGACATAATCCCTCTAACATTGATCTAGCTGATGTTAGAAGTCTAGAGACACAATCCCTCTAACAGTGATCTAGCTGGTGTTAGAAGCCTTGTTTAGAGACATAATCCCTCTAACAGTGATCTAGCTGGTGTTAGAAGCCTTGTCTAGAGACATAATCCCTCTAACAGTGATCTAGCTGGTGTTAGAAGCCTTGTCTAGAGACATAATCCCTCTAACAGTGATCTAGCTGGTGTTAGAAGCCTTGTCTAGAGACATAATCCCTCTAACAGTGATTCTGCTGGTGTTAGAAGCCTAGAGACATAATCCCTCTAACAGTGACCTAGCTGGTGTTAGAAGTCTAGAGACATAATCGCTCTAACAGTGACCTAGCTGGTGTTAGAAGCCTTGTCTAGAGACATAATCCCTCTAACAGTGACCTAGCTGGTGTTAGAAGTCTAGAGACATAATCCCTCTAACAGTGATCTAGCTGGTGTTAGAAGTCTAGAGACATAATCCCTCTAACAGTGATCTAGCTGGTGGTAGAAGCCTTGTCTAGAGACATAATCCCTCTAACAGTGACCTAGCTGGTGTTAGAAGCCAAGAGACATAATCCCTCCAACAGTGATCTAGCTGGTGTTAGAAGTCTAGAGACATAATCCCTCTAACAGTGACCTAGCTGGTGTTAGAAGTTTTGACACATAATGATTTATATTTATCGTTCATTTATGTCTTAAATATTACGATTTAAGCAGTTGCTTATTCTTTGATTAAAGATGTTAGACCATGTTGTCGATTTCAGCATGGCATCATCCAAGATTCCCAGCCGAAGTTTTTACCCTCAAATTTTACCCTTCTCCCGGAGAAGCTAAATGAGCTAGGTTATGCAACCCACATGGTCGGGAAGTAAGTACTCAGTTTTACTGGTCAACCATCGACCCTCCTTCCTCCACCGAAGTCCCCCTTCCAATCTTCTCTTCCCTCCCACAGCGAACGACCATCCTTCCTACAACCAAGCCCCCCTTCCTACCGCCCCTTCCCTCCCTTCAGACTAAAGGAATCGACCCTCCTTCCCACAACCAAGTCCCAATTCCCCCCCGCCCCCTCCCTCCTTTCAGACTAAAGTGATTGACACTCCTTCCCCTAACCAAGTCCCCCTTTCCGCCGCCCCCTCCCTTCAGATTAAAACGATCGACCCTCCTTCCCCCAACCGAGTCGCCCTTCCCATCTTCCCTTCCCTCCCTCAGACTAAAGCGATCAACCCTCCTTCCCCCAACCATGTCCTCCTTCCTGCTGCCCCTTCCCTCCCTTCAGACTTAAGCGAACAACCTCCTTTCTCCAAACAGGTCCCCTTCCCACCGCCCTTTCCCTCCCCTCAGAATTAAACGATCGAAACTCTTTCTCCCAACTAAGACCCCCTTTCCGCCGCTCCCTTCCTCCCTCAGACTTAAGTGATCGACCCTCCTTCCTCCACCCAAGTACCCCTTCTCGCTGCTCCCTCCCTCCCTTTAGACTAACAAGATTGACCCTCCTTACCCCAAGCAAATCCCCTTTCCCTCCTTCCCTTCTCTCCCTTCAGACTTAAGCGATCGACCCACTTTCCACCAATCAAATCCCTTCAGACTAAAGCGCTCGACCCTCCTTCCCCTAACCACGTCTCCCCTCCCTCAGACTAAAGCGATCGACCCACCTTCCCCCAACAAGGTCCCCCTTCCCGCCGCCCTCTCCCTCCCTCCCTTCAGACCAAAGCGATCGACCCTCCTTCCCTAACAAGATCGCCCTTCCCGTCGCCCCATCCCTCCCTCCCTTCAGACTTAAACGATCGACACTCTTTCCCCTAACCAAACCCCCTTCCCGCCGGCCTTTCCCTTCCTCCCTTCAGACTAAAACGATCGATCCTCCTTCCTCCAACCAAGTCCCCCTTCCCGCCGCCCCCTCCCTTCAGACTTTAGCGATCTACCCTCCTTCCAACAACTTAGTCCCACTTCCCCCTGCCACCTCCCTCCTTTCAGACTAAAACGATCGTCCCTCCTTCCCCCATCCAAGTCCCCTTCCCACCGCCCTCACCTCCCCTAGACTAAAGCGATCGACCATCCTTCCCCCAATCAAGACCCCCTCCCCGCCGCCCCTCCCTCCCTTCAGACTTAAGCGATCGATACTCTTTCCCCAACCAGGTCCCCTTTCCCGCCGCCCCTCCCTTCCTCCCTTCTGACTAGAGCGATCGACCCACCTCCTCCAAACAATCCCCCCCTTCCCGCCGCCCTCTCCTTCCCTAATAAAGCGATCGACATTTCTTCCCCCATCCAAGTCCGCCTTCCAACCGCCCTCCCCTTCCTTCAGACTAAAGCGCCCACCCCAACCCAAATCCCCGTTTAATAATAATAATGATGATAATAACTTTCTCGGTTTAATTTTCCATTATTTTCGAACTATTTTACATAAACTATATTACATATAATCTTGTAAATGTCTGTTTCGTTTTTAAAAAAAAAAGGACAAGGATTTTCTAGTATGTTGTTGTAGGATGATGTAGGATGAGAGGTTACTTTCATTAAAATCAACATTTCTTCTTCGTTCCAGATCTGTAGTGTCCATCATTTTATATATTTTCCACAGGGGTCGAGTTTCTCCTCAAGGGAGATCACTCTAAACATATTACTATTTTACAGTAGTTTGAGTAAACATGTTATTAGGTGTTGCCTCCCTTCGCACACAAATATATCTGGTGGCTCATATACCATTACCATAACAATGTAATTTATGTATCAATGTTGTATCTGTAGCTTTGAATGTCACAGATGGCATTTAGGTTTCTGCGACTGGAGGTACACACCTAATCACCGGGGATTTGACAGTTTCATGGGCTACTACGGCGGTGCTGAGGACTATTACACGCATCAATCAGGTCAGTTACGATCATTTATCTGCTGTTCTCTCAAACGAACATAAGTTATTTATTATTCATAACTTAAACTCTTTACTGGAAAGTTCGTACGACTAGTCACTAGGACGGACACAATCTGTTCGCTTAAATGTACAACAATATTTGTGGTTTTATCTGATTTATTGGTAATCAGTTAAGTTAACCAATTTAATCAATCTTTTAATAATTTTTTTTCTATCCTCTCTTCATCTTTTGTTTGTGTGAGTGCAAGTGAGAATGATCCAGTATATAATTATCCATTTATGAATCAGAGTTTATGGGTTTTCATGTACATGTATTGTGTATGTTTGTTTTACATGTAAATTCTTCAAAAATAAAACAAAAAATAGAAAAAATAAATAAATGGAATTGGCATCCCATTTCCAAACTGCCGTCTCGGGCAAGAACCATTTGGAGTCCATCTTTCCTCTCACAAACTGTATGCCAACTGTGTACTCAGAATAACCAACATCTGGATTGCTTGGTGACAGGAAGAAACAAAGAAAACCAAACGACGTTCACCTGATTACAAAAATTAAGGGTGGGTAGGTGTCCTTGTCACAATGGTCTGTTGTCTACTTATTGCACATGCGCCAGTAGCGGCACGTGCAAAACATGCTCTCGATTGCGTAACAACGATAAATACATGAACACGTTCTGATCTCAGCAAGCAGGTGTCCAAGTTGTTATTCGATATCTCTAAGTTAGGTTGCTTCTGTAAGTTCCAATGTTGTATATCGTGATCTCACTTGAGAACATGAGTGACCAAGATTTACATCTCGGGTATCATGAAGAAGCAGAAGAGGCTAACTCTTCCGGAACATCGTGTTTTCTTCTCCATGTAGTTTTTAGAAGTCTCCGTCTGAATCTTTCATGTTTTACCTTAGCTTTATTGAATTTGAGTTTTGATTATGATTTTGATGAAATGTTGGTATTTTCTTGTTTTTTGGGTTTTTTTTTTTTTTTTTTTTTCCTGATGTTGAAATTTTTGTATTTTCTTTTTGTTTTTGCCTGATTATGATGAAATGTTGGTTATTTCACGTTGTGTTTTGCCTGGTTATGTGGAGGTGTTGGCATTTTCATGTTGTGTTTTGCCTGGATATGTGGAAATGTTGGCATTTTCATGTTGTGTTTTGCCTGATAATAATGAAATGTTGGCACTTTGATGTTGTGTTTTTGTACGAGTTTCCTCTTGTTCTGCTTGTTCTTCTTCTTACAATTTCGTGTCCAGGGCATACTTTCTCTTCATAGATTAAGATGTGTGAAGACCTCATCTTATTTCTAGCTCCTGGAGAAAAATACAAACCAGTACCTGTTCTTCAACATGAATTTGAGTCGTTTCCATATCACTTTCCATTTGGATCTGGCACATTTTCTGATCAGAGAGACACAAAACTTTCACTGAAGAGACATTTGAATGCAAGACTTTTTTAGTTATGACAAAATATTTGCAAGTTATCCACAGTACATATTTTTTGCCCAGTATTCAACTGAAGTGAATGATATAGTGTCATCAATACCAATAGCAGTCAGAAAATCATCCACAGATCATGTTACACCTGAAACCCTCAAAGAGACAAGTGCATTGAAAAGTGTGTTAAAACATGATGAAGGCTTCTTCAAAATGTCAGAGGATCACCTATGTACTGGGAAAGAACTATGCAAGATACTTTTGCAATGCTCAGACAAATAAGCCTACCTACATTTTTATTACTTTGCCAGCAGCTGATCGCAGATGGCCTGAAATTATCCAACCCATCTGTACTCAACAAGGCAGCAACACGAATGTTTGACAAAAAACTTCACAACTTCATCAATGATGTCATAATGTCTCCTTCCAGACCTATTGGACAAGTTGTAGACATGATTGGTCGCATTGAATTTCAAGCAAGAGGCTGGCCACACTACCATGGACTTGTATGGGTCAAACACGCACCAGTATTTTAAAAGATCACCTGTGCAGAAATAACAGCATTTGTGGACAAATACATTTGTTGTGACACACCTCCAGAAACAGTTCATATGCACAGTAAAAACATTCCAAGTCATGTCGCAATGGAGGTAAAGAATGCAGATTTAACTTTCCCCGTCCACCATCAAAAAACACGTTCATAACAAAAAATGTTGATAGACTTGAAAACGATGAAAAAACAATTGGCAAAGAACAGGCTCAACTTATTCTCCAAATATTATGGTAAAGGGTCCATGAACATTTAGATTCTAATCTGACAGCAGAAGAGTTTTTCAAAACTATTAGCACAAATCAAAGCATGTTGGAGGCGTCTTTCAATGCCATATCCACAAAATCAACAGTGACATAGAACAGATCCCCTTCAAATATCTGGTGAATACTTACAATCCGACTTTACTGAAAGCTTGGAATGGTAATATGGATATCCGGTATGTAATAGACCCATACAGCTGTACAATGTACACAATATCACATATAACAAAAGCTGAGCGTGAATTGTCGCAAACAATCAAGTCTGCTCAAAAGGAAGCCAGGCAGGATAGAAATACTGATTCTGTATCTGAGCTAAGACGTTTAGGCCACATCTATATGATTAGATGTTAGTGTAATGGAAGCAGTTTACAGAACATGCAGACTTTGTCTGAAAATTTGTACCAGAGAGGTTGTTTGGCTTCCCATTGATCCACAAAGTACACGTTTAACACTACCACTGAAAGTATTACAAAGTCAAAGCCCTGATTCTAACATTTGGATGACAGATATTTTCGATAGATACAATGCACAACCGAAGATTTCAATGATATATGCTTGACTGACATTGCTTCAAACTCCAGAGTCATTGGTTGATGTACATCAGATGAATCTCATGACTCAAATGACAGTACTCTACGTTATGATAACTAAAACTTATTTTCACTTTTAAACAACATGGGATTTATTTCCATGCGTATAAAGAAACAGCAGTGATAAGGTATCCAAAACTTAACTTAGACAAAGATCCAGAGCGTAACTTCGCTAACATCATTTGCCTTTTTCCTCTACATCGTCAACTACTGAAACCTGCAGTCTTCGATACTTACGAGTCCTACTATGAAAAAATGTATGATAAGACTCTCTAACAAATACAAATAAAGAAAAGGTATCAGATGTAATTCTAACAAACATCTAAAGTATGAAATATTAAAAGACAATCTTGTCGATACTTGGGAACAAATGAAAGACATAGGCTTTGAAGATCCATTGCACCTTCTACAGACAAAGAAAGAGATGAAATGGAAAACAAAAAATAATTCAACAAGATTTTTAATTGGTCTCAAAAGAGGAACCTATTCCTGAACTTTCAGCTTCATCGTCATGTAAAACTGCTCAGAAAAGTGCACTCCTTCGTTGTGAATTCATGACCAATATCAACTCTATGCAAACGAAACTAAGATCTTTAAACGAGAAACAAAGACAAGTATTCAACTATGTAAGACAGTGGAGTCTTAAAAAACTACATGGTCAAAACCCTCCTCCATTCCACATCTTCATTAACGGGGGTGTTGCAACAGGAAAGTCCTACCTTATCCAATGTCTGTATTATGAATCTTCAAAGATATTTCAAAGACAGGTTCAAAATCCTGATGATGTCACAATTATGCTTGTTGAATTCACAGGAACTGCAGCATACAATAACTATGGTCAGACAGTGTATTCTTCATTTTCTATCAAAAGAAGAACGCTGCCATATCAACATCTTAATGAAGATAATCTAAATATATCGAGAACAGAATGTGGCTATCATCATCACAGATGAAGTATCAGTAAATCCTTGCTAGAATATATAAGCGGACGTCTCCAAATTTACAGTCCTCCCTTAAAACCACCTTAGAACTGTGTGAACAAGCCAGAGTTATGCCCACCATGAATCTTGACGTCAGTGATGGACTTGTAAATGGTGTTATCGGAACAATTGTAAAGATCATGAAAGGGTCCCAACCTGATTGTTTGCCAGAATTCATATGTGTCCAATTCGATGATGCAAACGTTGGCATAAACTTACGATCCAAGTTTGAAGGCAAAGACTTGCTACCAGACTTAGCTGTGCCCCTTTCTAGTTCAACAGACAGAGTCAAAACTAAAATCATAGATATTACAAGACATATGTAACCCTAGTGTTATTATGGGCTTAAACAATCCATAAAGTTCAAGGCAAAACCTTCAATGAAATTGTCATTTCCATGGATGGAATATTCAGAGCAGGTATGGTATACGTAGCTCTCAGCAGAGCAAAAGCATCAATGGACTGTATCAACTCGTTACTACTCCAGGCAATCCCTTGTGGCACCATAACATACAATCATTACCTGTGAATTACCAAGATATTGTACAAAACAAAGAAATCCAAAAGGCCTAAATAATTTGCCTCACAGAAACCTGGATCTCAAATCAAAAAGAAGACTTTGTCAGTACTCAATATCATCTCCCTGGATATACCAATGTGTCTATCATACCGAAAGATCCACGAAAAACCTTATCTTCTGGAATAGTTTGCTACTTCAAAGACAACTGCACTTATGAAATAATTCAAACAATGTCAAACTCAACAGTGGAACTAGTAACATTTGAATTAAACATTCCAGAACCACTGCTTCTAACAGTTATCTACAGGCATCCATCTCACAATGTGCCTTCCTTTCAAAGTGTTCCGGAAAAAAATACTCTTCAAAAAATTGCAAAATCAACACAATAACTGTCGTTGGAGATTTGTACGAAGACATATCACATCCAGACAGTCAGTATATTATAAAATCCTTCACAAGTGTTTGATTCTCTCAGCATATAACGATGCCAACAACGTTAGCTGGAACACTTCTGGGTCATGTTTATGTACACGACACTTCAGTAATGGAAAGTGGAATGATGTCAACTTATTACTCTTATCATGACCCTGTGTCCATAAATGTACACCGTAACACCCTACAATCATTGAACCTCAAAAAGAACCAGATGTCGTTCATCCCACTGACCATCGCCTCAAATCCCAAAATTCTACTTGCAACGATGTGAAACCTTTGCCATCAATTAAAGACGCAAATACGTTTACAGCGGTAGAAAATGCACAGACACCACCACCCCGAGCATTCACACGTAAACAAAAGAATAAAACCAGAAAACGGTCACTGCCAAAGAAAACGCAAATTCATCACATCACACAGTTCTAATGTTATTGTCAATATTGAAGAAATTCTCGGATTTCCATCTGATGGTATTACACCAACATTTCCTCTGCAACATCCAGTAACTGTTCCGCGTAATATTGCACAACAGGCACAATGTAAATACGTACGAATCATTGACATGGGTAGTGGAAATGAAATTGCACAATACTTAGCTGAATGGCTCCCATCCATTGGATATAATGTGATACAATCCTTTTCTAACTTTCAAGTTGGGCCATCATGTGGTTATATTGCAGCACATGTTGCTTGGACTCTGCATAAGTCACCTGAGTGGAAATCACAAAGTGTTCAATCTGCTTTAAATCCTTTGCACATATAAAGTACAATGTGATTCTGAACAAACACAGTGATACACCCTCATACTTATCAGATGATGAAATTCTCTCCATACTTTCACATATGCAATACAGTGAATCAAAGTCTACAACGCTTAGTTGGATTGATGGACCTATGCCAATTAACTACCTATTCCAATCATTCAGAAATTATTTCACCTGCCAAAGAAGAAGGAGAACAAGACAACACAACTTTAAAATCAGCATTGTGAATACAACACCAGTTGCAAATGTTTTCCAAAACCTTCGACAACCAACCATTTCTGGCGATCACTGGATAGTTGTAGTTTCGTCTTTGTAAAAAGTAAGGTAACCTGAACATTGCATTAATTTAGTTTTTTGTGTATTGCTATGTACAGCATATGCTCACAATTTAATCAGTTAATTTTATTAATGATTTCTAAATGTCAAATGTTTCTGTACCAAAAATACAAATAACAAATCAACTTCTTCCTTACCATAAGTTTGTTTCAACAAAGTAAACTAGTCCATACATGACTACATGTCTGTCACCAGTGTGCATTTTCTAATAACACCTCTTTAAGATATGCGTTGTAGTGATTATTATAATACATGAATGTCACATCTTCACTTCAGAGTCAACTCTTAAAAGTCCTATTTATCAACAAACTACCCAAAAATCAAATTGTACATTCCAATTACCACATGTTGCCAACATGCTTTAATATTCTATCAAGTTATGCAATCATTGATAATTCATCAATCAATTTCCTCATCAACACCTTCAGTATATATGCACGACTGTTTTTCAACTTTGAACAATATTTTGCACAACTATACAATTGCACACACACTCACTCATCCCACAACTACTTCATTCTCGAGAATGGAAGACATTTGATTTTAGCTGTGCTAAACCGAGACAATTTCTCGTTGAATTTGAGTTTGGATTGTGATTATGTTGAAATATTTGTATTTTCTTGGTTGTTTTTTGAATGATTATGTTCAAATGTTTGAATTTTCTTGTTTTTTTTTTCCTGATTATGTTGAAATATAGATAAAACACAGGTGATCTGGATAGGAAGTAAAATTTATAGTGAAGATATGTTTTTACCTGAATTAAATTTACAGTGGGGAAAGAATAAGTTTATTCTCCTTGGAATGGAATTAAGTGTTAACCTGCATGAGACCACCACATTGAACTTTGATAAGAAAATAATTAAACTAAAATTACTAATTAAAACATGGAGTAGAAGAGTACTTACTCCAATAGGGAGAATTCAGCTAATTAAATCTTTGTTATTACCTCAATTTACTTATTCAATCAATTTTTGAACAGGTTAAATAAAATGCTTTTTCAATTACTGTGGAATGGGAGTTCTGATAAAGTTAAGAGGGATATCATAACCCAAGAATATTACAGAGGGGGTCTCAAAATGGTAAATATAAGATCCTTTATAGATTCGCTTAAGTTAAGTTGGGTAAGGAGGCTGTATTAAAAGTCTGGAAAGTGGCAAATCATTTTTAATACATATATTGACCTACATATGCTTTCAAATTGTGGTAATGAGTATATTAAACTATGTCAAAATAATTGTAAAAATGATTTTTGGAAGGATGTCTTTCTGGCATGGACAAGATTCAATAGTTTAAGTTGTGTAAAGCAAGTATGGGAAAAGTTCATCTTAAAACTCCTTTATGGTACAATGAGAGCCTAACTATTGGGGGTAAAACTATATTTTATAAGAAATGGTATGAAAAGGGCGTTATTGTTGTGAATGACTTTATAAATGACAGTGATACTAGGATTTTCTATACTTTTGAGGAATTTATCCAGTTATTTCAAATAAACACAGATTTTCTTACATACCGTGGTATCTTCTATCAAAACATATTTAGGTCAAGTTGATCTTGGAAATACTAGGGCAGTTTCAATTGAATATCCTTTTATACCTATCAATGTTTATTTTTTCATAAAAAGATAAAAGGGTCTAAAGATTTGTCTTATCTTATGATTAAAAATTATATTATTCTCACTGGTATAAAAAAAATGGGAGGATGAGATCCAATTGAATAATTTGCAATGGGAAGAAATCTACAAAATTCCTTTTATAATAACTAAAAATACAAAACTACAGTGGTTTCAATATAGATTAGTCCATCACATTCTGACAACGAACTCCTTTATCTACAGATTAGGTTTGGTTGTCAGTCCACTCTGTCCCTTATGCAATGTAGAACAGAAAACCATAATCCACATCATGTGGGAATGTCAAGAAGTACAAAATATTTTACAAAGTCTTGAAGTACTTCTAGAAGCACTTGTTATTCCTTTTGCTTATGATAAAGAAAAATTTCTCTTTGGATTTTCATTACAACATCAAATGCTTACATCGGTGAAAATTGACAATGTAATACTGATAATTATTAAGAATTATATCTATAAGACTAGATGCTATCATAGAAAATTAAACATTAATGCATTTGTAAATTCTATCAAAGAATACTACTCTGTTCAGAAATATATAGCAAATAGTCAAGGGGACTCCAAAAAGGTCAGATTTGAAAATGAAAGGAGAAAATGGAAGTCTTTGATAGAAATTGCATAATAATTTGTGCAGGTAAATATACTTCACTGTAAAATGAAAACCCTTAATAATGTATGATTTATGATGTGTCTATTGTTGTATGAGTACCTTCAGACATAATGTATGGATTATGCTGAAATAACTGCATGCATTATATAGGCACGATGTAGTTTCATTTTACTGTGTAATATCAATACTGTAGTCTTCCCTCAGTTGGTTTTACTCTCTGATGCCGTATAATAATATAATTACTAGGTCAATATATATTTATATACTCTCTCTCTCTCTCTCTCTCTCTCTCTCTCTCTCTCTCTCTCTCTCTCTCTCTCTCTCTCTCTCTCTCTCTCTCTCTCTCTCTCTCTCTCACACACTCTCTCTCTCTCTCTCTCTCTCTCTCTCTCTCTCTCTCTCTCTCTCTCTCTCTCTCTCTCTCTCTCTCTCTCTCTCTCTCTCTCTCTCTCTCTCTCTCTCTCTCTCTCTCTCTCTCTCTCTCTCTCTCTCTCTCTCTCTCTCTCTCTCTCTCTCTCTCTCTCTCTCTCTCTCTCTCTCTCTCTCTCTCTCTCTCTCTCTCTCTCTCTCTCTCTCTCTCTCTCTCTCTCTCTCTCTCTCTCTCTCTCTCTCTCTCTCTCTCTCTCTCTCTCTCTCTCTCTCTCTCTCTCTCTCTCTCTCTCTCTCTCTCTCTCTCTCTCTCTCTCTCTCTCTCTCTCAACCAGCTGTAAATTTCTCCAGGACTAGCAGACTTTACAAAGAATGAAATTACTTTTCTATGTATATTAGATTTTCAATATACACATGTAATATTTTTTCTTTCTTCCATTAGCCCAAAGTCCTCTCTCTTGTTCCTTGCTGCTTGTCTCTTTTTGTCTCTGCTATTCTCCTCTAAAGTGTATGTTGGTTTCGAAATGTAAGTGAAAAAGAGAGATATACATATATGTGATATGAATGTTTAGCCCTGAGTCCTGATTGCAATATTCTAAAGCTGATGACAACTATGAAGATAGGAGTGTTGTGTTGACTGGGATATTATCTACAATATACTTAAATTATTGATTCACAAATAGTTGCAATCCTATGTAGGTATGCAAGTTTCTGTGTGTGGAGTGTGTAGGCTTATGTGTTGTTAAATGTATTTGAAAAAAATGCTTAAAAATAAAAAAAAATTACAAAAAATAAAATACCAGGTTAGCGATACAGGCCCTCTGGGCCTCTTATTTATTTATTTTTTTTTTTTTTTGTTTTTTTGCCTGATGATGTTGGTATTTTCCTGTTTTTGCCTGATTATGTTGAAATGACAACTATATAAACAGTTTTCTGGTTGCAAATATAGATAAAATATATAATTCGTATAGTTATCTGATCACTGGTAAACATATCTATATAAACTTGACAGTTTTGTGAATACTAATTAATATATCCATATAATTCGTATAGTTCTCTGATCACTGGTAAACATATCTATAAGATTATCTGTTTATCGATTAGGATATTTATGTAAGCTGGATAGTTCTCATGTTACTAATTAAGACATTTAAAAAGACCTCATCAATCCTTTGTACCTGATTAAGATCAATTCTCTAGTTACTGGTGTTTGTGTTACAGGACGAGGCTATGATTTCCGTTTAAATGACGCTGTTCATCATCCGCCATCAGGAGAGTATTCGACGGTATGTTTTTAATTACTGACAGTAATTATCAACGTATATGTCTTGCACTTGTACGCACAATCTTTTCCTTAAATAGCAATTAAGAGATCAAAGAAAGGTGATTATAAATTTTGATGAGTGTTTTTGATAGGGAAAAAAACAATCACGAGATCAGTGGATGGTTATGGTGAATTTTCTTAAGTTGTATCTCGCGTTTATTATCGTCCGTCTCATTTTTCTCTATTATTCTTGACGTCCATTTATCTTATTGTTATCTACATTACCTAATTATTTATTTCTTATATCAGTGTTACATTATATGATGATTTAATATTCACTTGAATTTATGTCTTTCTTCACAATTATTCCAACGTGTCCAAAAAGGATAAATAGTTTGATGATATCAAGTAATTTAGCTTTAATCTAATTATTGATTTTCTCTTTGTGTCTTTTGTTCAATCCTTTGTATTAAAATATGTTAATCACCTGTATGTCTTTTGTTCAATCCTTTGTATTAAAATATGTTAATCACCTGTATGTCTTTGTATAATTGTTTGTATTAAAATATGTTAATCACCCGTATGTCTTTGTATAATTGTTTGTATTAAAATATGTTAATCACCTGTATGTCTTTGTATAATTGTTTGTATTAAAATATGTTAATCACCTGTATATCTTTGTATAATAGTTTGTATTAAAATGCGCTAATCACCTGTATATCTTTGTATAATAGTTTGTATTAAAATGCGCTAATCACCTGTATATCTTTGTATAATAGTTTGTATTATAATGCGCTAATCACCTGTATATCTTTGTATAATAGTTTGTATTATAATGCGCTAATCACCTGTATATCTTTGTATAATAGTTTGTATTATAATGCGCTAATCACCTGTATATCTTTGTATAATAGTTTGTATTAAAATGCGCTAATCACCTGTATATCTTTGTATAATAGTTTGTATTAAAATATGTTAATCACCTGTATGTCTTTGTATAATTGTTTGTATTAAAATATGTTAATCACCTGTATATCTTTGTATAATAGTTTGTATTAAAATGCGCTAATCACCTGTATATCTTTGTATAATAGTTTGTATTAAAATGCGCTAATCACCTGTATATCTTTGTATAATAGTTTGTATTAAAATGCGCTAATCACCTGTATATCTTTGTATAATAGTTTGTATTAAAATGCGCTAATCACCTGTATATCTTTGTATAATAGTTTGTATTAAAATGCGCTAATCACCTGTATATCTTTGTATAATAGTTTGTATTAAAATGCGCTAATCACCTGTATGTCTTTGTATAATAGTTTGTATTATAATGCGCTAATCACCTGTATGTTTTCTGTACAATTCCTTGTACTAAAAGCTGTTACTCACCGCTATGTATTTGTATAATTCTTTGAATATTTTCTCCTCAGTTGCAATCAAGTAACAACACATTCTATTGTATCTGAACTGACATTCTGACACGTGATAATTGTGTTCTTAGGAAACGTATACAAAGCGGTTAATAGATATTATACACCAACACGATCCTCAACAGCAGCCATTATTTCTTTACGTCGCCTACCAGAACGTCCACTCTCCCTTACAGGTAATATAGCAAGATAAGTTGGAATTGTTGATAAAAAACCTCGTCATTTGCATAACATTATATAGTCTAAGTGTCTAACAAAACACGAGGATATCCAATACCCATGGCTACAATCACTTTAATCGTCTAACTGCTCGAACTGGTTGTAACAATATGTGGTGACAGAGTATGACACTGTATTTACAATCATTTAAACTGATACAAAATGTTTCCTTCCATTCTATGAATTGTGCTATTCTGTGTGATTGCAATGAACCATATTTGTCCCAGGTTCCACAGCATTACGAAGACATGCACTCCCATATCCCTAATGAAGATCGGCGGGCATTTACTGGTAGGTTGTATTACGTATATCATACCCTGCAACTGGTTCTGTCGGAATCACCTGCCACACCTAGTTTTGCTGTATTCGGCAATTATTTTTGTGTATGTCACCAGGCAAAATTCAGCTTAACGTCAAAATCACGTAAACAAAGATTGAACAAAAAACTGTAGAGGTTTTGATTGTCTGATTTTCAATCAATGTTGGATGATGAATAGAAAACATGGTCAGTGTCTTAAAATATCAGCTGTATTTCTTAATACGCTGACCACGTGCTCTCTTCGAGTCGAGACTATATATATTATCTATATTATTGTTAGTGACGTAGATAGCAACACCTTTTCATTATAACTGGGTGTATAACTGATAGATGTATTTGGTAGAAGACACGAGCCTCTTTGTGTGTAGACACTTTCATACTATCGTGTATTACGTATGCACCTTTGTCATCCCGGAGCCGAAGTATTTGTAACATTTTCGGAACAAATCGCCAATTGTTGTCACCAGTAAATTGTGTAAGTAGTTAAACAAATAAAATTTATGATACGTGTTGAAGATTTTTTACTTCTAACGTGCTTCTGAGAAAATGTGACGTGTTTTATGAATTTCATATGAAATGGAAACAATTCATTCTATTTATAGCAAACTTTAATGCCAGTAATTTTCGAGGAGATGATATTCTT